TTGAGCTGTGCGCCCGATTGAGCTTCGAATTGGTGGCGTCAACGATAGCAACGAGATAAGAGCAATTTGCATTTGCCCATTCCGTTCTTGGGGTGGTTGATTCTCAACGCGAGTTTCTTCTCGGGCTGCTCCAGATGGCGCGCGGCCCGTCGCATGCGGACCGCCCTTTTCGACGCCGAACTGCGCCCGACCTGCTCGGCGCCGACGGTCGGCGCCTCCCCCGAGAAATTGTTTAACGCGTGCCGGGCGTCTGTGCAGCTCGCCGAAGATGCAAGAGTTTCGGAGTTCGGGGGGGGTCATCTCACCCCCGTCCTCTCCCTCATTGCGGCGTGGTGTGGGTGGGGTGGAGGGGGGGTGGAGTAGGTTTTAGTCTTGGTGCCAAGGGTATGAACCCCTTCCGGCCATCCAGGGGCCCCGGGGTAGGCGTGGAGTCGGAGGCAGGGATGTCCCTAGACCGTCTTGGGGTCTAGGGCCAGCCACCCTGGAAGCCCGTGGGGGCCAGCTGGAGGCATTCCTGGGCCCATCCTGGGCTCGCCGGCCGCCTTGATGTCTCCGGGGCTTTCTCGAGGCCCTCGGGGGCAATTGCGGGGTCATCCTGGAGGCGCCCATTTGATATTTTCGGGTCTTGCTGCAAATGCTGCTACAGCGCTTTCGGAATCCAGGGGGGGTATAATCCTAGGGTGAATCCGCCAGCCCACGCAAGAACGGTGCACTTCGCGCATGTATCGCGCGTTTAAGACTTGGGAGATTGCGGCAAGCACGCGTGCGTGGAGTTGAGCGCCCCAACAAGCATATTGGCATAATGTGTGTGACAGAGTACCAAACTCTACCCTTGAGCTGCTTTCAGCTCGGTTCCAGCTAAGGCATTACCTTGGCCTAGCGCTCGACGCAGCGCAGCGCCGTGGTAAGAGCGCCGGGGCTGCTGGTCTGTCGTGGCGCAAGATTCGGCCGAGCGCCCCTGAATGCGCGCGCGCCTGCCTGGGCGGGCGCGCGTATTCGACTGCTGCGCTTTCCGCGAGTGCGCGTCGGACATCGCCTCTGGATCCCTTGGCGTTGCTCGACGAGAAGTCGATCGATGAGCGCATCGTGCAGCTGCGACCGCAGCTGAAGCCAGACCGATCGACTGTGTGGGCTAACAGGTACAGCTCTTTGCTCAATTCGGTCATGGGGGAGATTAATTGCCCTCTTCACGTGGTCAGGTATTTCGGCTCCATGGCCATGCGCGTGGAGCACGGAGTCTGGCGCGGCGCAGGAACGTGCGGTGCTCCATGGAGGTTCGTTGAAGCAAGCTTGGGCCTGGGTGGGCATCTGCGTATCGTGCGCCCGTGGTATTTTGTCGCTGCTGTTCGGTCGCTTGCGCGCCACTACTCGTGGTGCGTTGAAAAGTGCACCTTCGATGTCTCAGAACCTCTCGGGATGGGGTGCCCGGTGTACTTGGGACTTCAGGCGGCTGCTTCATCGGAGGTGCTGTCGTCATCCCGACGAAGTACCCGCCGGCCGTGGCGGTGCTGCGACGCCCCCGCGGCCAGGGCAGCGCTGCGGCCGCTCCAGCTGCCGGGCCAGTGCCGCTAGGGGGGGCGCCGAGGGTCAGGGCGGTGAGGTTGGAAGTGGAGTGGACTTTGAGAAAGATCTGACACATGTAATGGACGCCGCCAAAAGGATGGGCGTTTTTGACGAGTCGGCACTTGAATCGGAAGAGGCAATCGATGCAGCGAGGAGAGCGATCGCCGAGGAGGGCAAAGAGGAAGATGAGACTAGTGACGACATCTTGTCTGATGCATCTGGTGAAGGATTACAAGCCTCAGTCGAGAGGAAGCGCTTGCAGGTGGCTGTCGCTATTGGACTTGTCAAGCCTGGTCTAGCACGGGGGCGCGCTGAGCAATGGATCGCCGACGACGCGAAGGAAGTCGAAGCACTTTTGCGCCCTGAAGATATCTTGACCGATGCAACGCTCGACGTGACAGAACGCGCGACGTCAGTGGCGGCTCAAAAGACGACGCTGGCACTGGTGGCGCTGGGGCACATCGCCGCGGTCGTCCAGATCCAGACTGTCTGCCGCGTGTGCCTGCTGATCTGTTGAAGGCTACTACAATGGATGACCTCGCGCGGACGTGGGCAGATAAGGTAACCATGGCCCTCGGTGCCTTCGAAAGAAGGAAGTTTGCACAGAGCCATGTGAAGGACAGCATGCAGCGGGTTTCAATGGAAAGTTTGCCCACGTCGAGGTGAACCGCGGAGACGGCCCAACGGCGGATATTGTTTCGTGGGCAGACATTAGCGATATGCGTGGGAGGATGCGCCGCTATGACTCAGAGAACTGCTTGGGGAGTATTGCGTCTCATTGAATGCTGGGAACACTCTCTCTTTTTCTCTCTCTCTCTCTCTCTTTCTCTCTCTCTCTCTCTCTCTCTCTTTTTTGGTCCTCTCTCTCTCTCTCTCTTTCTTTTTTCTCGCTCTCTCTCTCTCTCTCCCAGCTCAGCTCGGCTGATGCAGAGACGGA